TCTAAAAACTTGGAGTGTATCCCCATCTTTTGACAGGCTCATCCTTTCTGGTTTGCCATGCTGTTTACTATTCCCTATGAAAGAGTAATTCCCTATGGTCACCAGCATAATGCTGATGACACAACTTTGCTTACTGAAAGTGAGGAGGAAAAAAAAAAGAAAGTGAGGAGGCTATGAAATGCCTGCTGCAGAAGATCAACATCAAGAAGACAAAGATCCTCACCACAGGCCCAACAATCAACATTATGATAGATGGAGGAAAGATTGAAGCTGTCAGTGATTTCCTCTTGTTTGGATTAACAGTCACCACCCTTGGTACCAGTAAGCAGTCAGGAAATCAGGAGACATACTGCATTGGGCAGGTCTGCTGTCAGGGATCACTCCAAAGTACTGAAGAGTCGTAATGTCAGTTTGAAGACTTAAGATGCATCTGATTCAGGCCATGATCTTCTCAGTCACTTGCTTCTCATCAGAGAGCTAGACAGTGAATAATAATGACAGAAGAAGTGATGCCTTTGAGTTATGGAGAAGAATACTGAGTATCTCATGGACTGCAAAAAACCCCCAGATATGTTCTGGAAAGGTTATGACAGAGGTATTCGTTGGAGGCAATAATGGCCAAGCTTCGTCTTTCCTACTTTGGACATGTTGGACAAGACTGTTCCTTGGAAAGGGACATGATGCTTGGAAAGGTGGAGTGTCAACAAAGGAAAGGAAGACCCCACCCCCCATGAGATAGATTGACACTGTGGCTTCAGTAGTGGACTCTAGTGTCTCAGAGATGATGAGGATGGCACAGGATAGGGCAAGTTTCAGAATGATTGTTCATAGGGTGGCTGTGAATAGTATTCAGCTCGATGACACCTAACAACATGGTTATTGGGCCCCAGGAGTCAATGGGATACCAGTTGACGTTTCAACGAATAGATGAAGCCCTGCGTGTGCTCACCAAGCTGTGCTAGGAAATTTAGAAGACAGCTACTTGGCCAGCTGACTGGAAAAGATCTACAATTGTTCCCATTCCCAAGAAAAGTAATCCACCAGAATGCAAAAATTATCAAACAATTTTGTTCCTATCACATGCAAGCAAAATATTGCTAAAGATCATCCCAAAATGGCTAGAAAAGTGCATAGACAAAGAACTGCCCAGAGTATGCTGAATGAATTCTATATAGAATAATATGGCATCAGGACTGGAGGAAGACTTTTTAGTAACCTGAATTATGCAGATAATACAACTTTGCTGGCCGAAAGTGCTTGAAGCATTTGTTGTAGAAAATCAAAGAAGACAGTCTTCAATATGGGTTGCGTCTCAATGTCAAATAAAAATTCTTACTACTGGACTGATAGGTAAAAAACATGGTAAGTGGAGATAAGATTAAAGTTGTCAGTTTTGTCTTACTTGGATCCACAATCAGCGCCTTTGGTGTGGCACGAGCAGTCAAGGAAATCAAGAGACATACTACACTGGGAAACTCTGCCATTAGGGACCTCTCCAAATTATTGAGGAACAGTGATAACAGTTTGAGAACTAAGGTGCACCTGATTCAGGCCATGGTCTTTTCAATCACGTGTAAAGCATCTGAGAGCTAAACTGTAAATAAGGATGAGAGGAGACGAATTGATACCTTTGAGTTGTGTTGGAGGAGAGTACTGAATATTCCATGGACATCCAAAAGAATAAATAGACATGTCTTGGAGAAAGTGCAGCCAGAGTGCTTCTTGGAGACAAAGATGTTGAAGCTTCGTTTCACATACTTTGGGCATGTTGCTAGAAGGAGCTATTCTTGGAGAGGGACATCATGCTTGGAAATGTGGAGGGTCGGCAAAAGAGAGCAAGACTACCAAGCAGCTGGATTGACAGTGACTGCCACAGTGGACTCCCCTGTGTCATGAAGTGTCAGTGTGGCACAGGATAGGACAGGGTTCAGTTCTATTGTTCCTAGGGTCACCATGGGTAATACTCAATTGGATGGCACATAACAACTGGTTAAATTTTGGTGTTTTGAAATCGCCCCATGGAGCTATAGACAGAAGAGCTGGAAATGTGCTTTTTGTTAAGATGACAGCTTCGAAAACACTGTGGAGCCCAGTTCTGCTCTGTAACAAGAGAGTTGCCGTGAGTCAGAATTGACTTGCTGGCAACTTGTTAGGGTGTTTTGTTAATCTGTCCTCTTGTCTCCAATCCCTTGACTTTTGTCATTTTTCATCTGGAGGACTAGAATAATGTCCTGACCCAGCTTTTTATCTCTACTGTTCCTCTTAAGAGTGTCTTCACGGTACTATCACATTCATCTTTCTAAATTATATGTTGTCTCATGCCATACTCAGTCTCTTTATTGCTGCTCCACTTTGTACTAAATGAGATTTCAGCTCCTGACCATGCTGTTGATGCTCTGCATGATCTAGCTGATAACTGTCCGGCCACTTAACCATTGTGGACCTTCATTTCCTTCTCTAGACCTTAAGAGAAATGACAGTTCTTGCCTATACCTTTATAACAAAAATCAAAACTGAACCCCTGGCTGCCAAGCTAGTTTCAACTCACAGCAATCCGTTGTATAAAGTAGAACTTCCCTTCTATTTGCACTGATGAAAGTTGAAACAATCTGCCACATTTTTCTCTGGTTAGAGGGTTTGAACCTCTGACCTTTGGAGTAGCAGCTGAGCTTGTAACCACTGCACCATCAGAGCTCTTTTATCAGATGACAGAAAAACCAAGACTGCTGCTGTAGATTTGATCCAACTCTGATAACCATCCATGAGGTTTCTGCGGCTGTAAATCTGTAAAGAAGGAGACTGCTTGTCTTTCTTTCAAGGTGCAGCTGGTGAGTTTGAATCACCAACCATTTAGTTAGCATCTCAACATGTACTACATTCGTACTACAAGGTGATAGTGAGGATTAACTAAATTCCAAATAAACATAAATGCTTGGCACATTTCTCAACACTTTGGAAGCATTCAACACATGTTAACCATAAATGTTTTAATGGTGGTGCTGTTACCGCTTCTTTATGGAATGTCTTTCCCCACTTCTTTCCTGAATACAGCTCATCCTTGAGGATTTAGCTTCTTTGTGACTTCTTCCAGGATCTACTCTCTGACCTTCCATAATTCCACAGTACCTCTGTACCTCTCAGAAAGCACTTGTCACTCTGCAGTATTTTCTCTCTCCTCACTTGTTATTGTTATTAGATGTCATCAAGTCAAGTATGACTCACAGCGACCCCATAAACAACAGATCTGAACCCTGTCCTGTCCTCTTGCCATCCTCACAATTTCTGGCACACTGGGGCTCATTACTGCAGTCACCATGTCAACCCACCAGGCTGAGGGTCTTCCTCTTTCACTGCCCCTCCACCATTTGAAGCATGATGTCCTTCTCCAAGGAATAGCCTCTCCTAGCAACATACCCAAAGTATAAGATGAAGCTTCAACATCTTTGCCTCCAAGGAGCTCTCTGGCTGCACCTTCTCCAAGACATATCTGTTTGTTCTTCTGGAAGTCCATGGGGTACCTTCTCCAACACCACAGTTGAAAGACCTCTTGAAAACAGGAACTGTCTTAGACAACTCTGCAGCCTTAGTGGCCGTCACAGATCTGGCATTCTTAAATGTTTGGTGAATTAATGAATGACACTGGATGGTAGAAGATACTTGATTCAAATTATTTGCACTTGTTAGAAAAGTAAGATGTACAGTAAAGCATTTTACTAACGCATCATTTGAAATGTGACAGTGATGACGTCTCTTTAGTTATTGTGCCTTGTGTTTTTAAAACTGTTATTTCTTGGGGAGCTCTGGTGGCCTAGTGGCAAGGAGCTGCAACTACAATCCCAGAAGTGCACGGTTCGAATCCACCAGATGCTCTGCCGGGGAAGGAGGGACAATCTTCTCCTGTACCAGTCAGATCTGATTTGACGGTACACGCACACAAAAATTTAAAAAAAACAAAGCAAAACAAAAAAAACACACTATTATTTCTCACCATAAGTAATACTTGCCTTTATAGGAAATAGAAAAATTTAAAAAGTTAAAAGAAATAATACCATTCAGAAGTAACTACTGTTTTACAGTTCTTTTAAGCACTTATGCATTTGCTATTCAATTTTCCTGTTTAAAATCTTAATTTGAAAGTAATCTTGTTTTAACACATACTGTTAGATCATCTAGCTTAATATAATGAAGTTTCTGGTTTGTTGTATTCTCAATGACAGGGTAGTTTCTTGCATAATGAAATGTATCTGCTGCTAACACAGCCTGTGCTCCTGAAATCTAGTCTGTTGAATTGTCATGTGATTGCCTTATTTTATACGTGGCCATTCACTTACCATTATGTGCCTCCACATCTGTGCTTATAGGCTGTCTACAGGAATGAAGCGGTTTTGGTTTGGAGACTTAATGCTATCCTCCAAAATAAAGGAATCATCATTTATAGAGGCCAAGAATGCCTTCTTTATCCGCACCCTCCGTTCTTCACTCCCACTCTTATAACTACTGACATGAAATGCATAGGAATAGATCTCTCATATTTTTTTTCTCTGTTTTTATCCTGTCCATTCTTAATGTCACATGTCTGCTTCTACTCCCAATAAAGAAGAAACACATGTTTTTATGTATTTTTTCCTTTCATAGTATTTTCTTTCACTAACTCTTTTTTGTTTTGCAACATGGTTCTTAATAAGAAGTGATACTAGCCTACATTCTTTAAAGTTAGATTTTACTAATAAATCTGGTATGTGTAAATTGTGACACTGTACCAACTTCTTGGTATGAAAAGGTATCTGTTAGAGGTAAGAGATTTTAGCCTTTTATTGTGTTGTTTTAATGAATGAAATTTGTTGTATTTAGGTTTTGTCTTCTCCAGGTTCCTGCCTTTGGGGATGTTTAGTCATTATGAGAAATATCAACTAGCTTTTATAGGCAGCCCCAAATCGCCAGTTATCATTCCTTACTGAGTATCATTTGCTTTATGTTCTTACTCAGTTTTTTTCTTTTAGATCACAGATTCCGCTGGCCACATTCTGTATTCCAAGGAGGACGCAACCAAGGGGAAGTTTGCTTTTACCACTGAAGATTATGACATGTTTGAAGTGTGTTTTGAAAGCAAGGGTAAGTAGAATTTTCCCTGAATGTAACATCTTCTCACAACTCTGTAGTGCCCTCTAAAGTTGGAGCATGAATGTTCTTAGTCTTGGACTGGCAGGAAGGGAAAATGAGAACTATGTACTTGCTGAAGTTCATGTGCTGTGAGTAAAAGTTAGCTAATGAGTAGAGTTTTTCAAGTTGTGTGCAGGAATGGACTTTTTTGTAAAAAAATTTATTAATTTTAATGAACTTTTACAGAGATTTTGGGTTTCCATTCATTCATTGTTGCACTCTTTTCTCTACCCTCCCCCCCCAGTTCGTTCCTCTTTTTCCCCCCCTTGAAAGTCTCTTTTAATTGTCCCATTGCCACAGTGCTTGTCAAAGCCAGTTCTGATTAACCTCCTTTGTCAGTGTGTCCTTTGCCATTCCCAATCACTCTTCCCTGAGAGAGACTTCACCCTGATTATAAGGAAAAGGGGACGGCATATTCGCTTAGCTACTTCCTGCTGAAAAGGGACGCTGTAGGTTTCAGGGTGAAGATCTCTCACTACTCTAAAGGGCCCCTTTGGCAATAGAAAACACATAGACTATTGTGGAGATTGATTTTGGAATTTAGATACACTGATATCAATTGTGCTTAACCATACATGTTCATATCCTTGAAGATGTATCATGGAACTGTTGCAGCCTAGAAGACACAAATTTAACAAGTTAAAAGTACACAAGTCAAAAATTAAAAAGCAATAATATTCCGAGTAGAGGTTCTAATAGTGGCACAAATCAAGTTACAGAGGGAAGGTAGTTCTTAAAATAAGAGGTTTATTAACTAACACTTTGTCTATAGTATAAAGGTTAGGAACCACAAGATGTAGAGGCTCAACTGTGTCATTTATTGTTTTTAAGTCCTGGAGCAAATTTCATCTACCACTGGGTTGTTTTACAGCTCAGAAGTCCGCATGCAAGGCAGAGGTCAAGTAAGGAACTGCTTATGAGGAGGTTTTCCGTCAGTGCCAACAACTAAGAAATAGTGAGAAGAGTTGGGACCTCAGAAGGCTTTTGGGACAAAATAGGCTCTTATGTCCAGGAGAAAACGAATGTACTTACCAGTAATGTTAATACTCACCCACAGCTCTTCTGGGAGGATCTAAATCGTTGAAGCGTCCTCCTTTGTTTCCAGCTGGGAGCTGGGGCCTGTCAGTCCTGTCAGCCACGAGGACCTGATGTGGGCCACCGTTGGCCAAGTGTCCTTCAGATCCACACTTAAAGCAAGTGAGTGGGAGCTTCCTCTCTACTCCCTTGCCTATCTGTGGCTCTCGTCTGTGACACTGTCTACTGAAGTGGCACAGCTTTTCACAGTGGAAGCAATTCTGACCTCCTTTATTACCTTTGGGTGGCACTGTTTATGAGTAAGACTTCCTTTTCCTGACATAGGCCCTAAACTGGCAGCAATAGCTGCCCCAATAATTTTGGCCATTCTCTGGTCTTTTCTCTTCCCTCTAGATCCCAGTTGTTAAAAGAGGGAAAAATTTAAACAAATATTTAACAAACCATTTTGAACATTATAAACTTTTAAGCTTAAGGCTAGAAATATTAACAATATAATCATTTCCAGTCCAGAGATACAAGTTCCAATGCAGTTCCTATTTTCCATAAACGTTGTTGGTAAGAAGAATATTGTAAATGTGGATACAGTTCCACTATTCCTCCTCCATGTCATGATACAGTGCTGTTACTATCATGAGCAGTTATAAATCCATTGCCATCCTTACTCTAACTTAAATTTTTATTTTTAAATTTAAATTTATTATTAATTTCAGTAAAAATTTAGAGTCTTTGGATTAGGAGTGGACTTTTCTTAAACACTGTGACCTATTGGCATTGGCTGCTAGAGCATCTTTGGTACAGATGGAAGTCATGTATTTCTCTGCTAGGGCATGTCTTATCAGGAATTAGAAGCTATTTAACAACCAGTATAAGACAGTCAGAAGCAGGTTTAGTTTCTAGTGTGCTTAACTATATTCTGGTCCATATATATCTTGGTATAGGTTCCATCTCGAGACCAAGGTTCCATAGTAACTTTCAGGCCAATAACCTGGTGAGTTCTGTGCTCAGTAGTGAGTAAAAAAGCAGATTACTTTTCACGGTCTGTTCTTTAATTTTAAGAATGTCAGACCCTGAAAGTTCTGTGGCGCTTATATGCATGTCACAAAAATAGCTGAAACTGCAAAAAGACCATGGAATATCATCTCACCCCAAAATAACAAAAATAACAAAGTTCACCAGAACAGCAAACAACAAATGCTGATGAGGTTATGGAGAGATTAGAATTTTTATTCACTGCTGGTGGGAATGTAAAATGGTACAATCACTATGGAAGTATGGAAGGCAGCCTGGCACTGTCTCAAAAAGTTGGAAATAGAAATACCATTTGACCCAAAATTCCACTACTGGGAATATACCCTAAAGAAATCAGAGCCACAGCTCAAACAGATGTATGCACACCATGTTTATTGCTGCATTGTTCACAATAGCAAAGAGATGGAAGTAGCCCAACTGCTCATCAACAAATGGATAGAAGAACTGTGGTATATTCACCCAATGGACTATCACGCAGCATTGAAAACCGTGAATTCGTAAAACATTACACAACATGGGGGAGCCTGGAGGATATTATACTTAGTGAAATTTCTCAATCATAAAAGGAAAAATAACTGCATAACACTGCTATTATAAAATAGGACAGACCTGTAGGGGAATGTGGGGGTGAGAAGGGATGTTGGGGAGAGTATGGGAAAAGAGTGGATAGATAATGAACAGTTCAGTAGAAGAGGTGAGGGGAAGAAATGTTGAAAGGAATATATGATTAGGCATTATATGTATGATAACAATCAAACAAGGGCTGCATAGCAGAGGGAGCTGGGTGGGTTGGAATGGAGAAAATAGGCAACAATGAATTTTTTAAAAAAACAGCTGTAAAGCATCTAAAGAAAAAAGACCATTTTGACTATCTGGATCAGAAAGTTTATGATGTGCTAGCATTAAGGCATGGTTGAATCTTACCTCTGTTTGACTTCATTCTGAGGCTCCGTTTATATGGTGACAAAAGGACTTCAGGCAATTTTAGGTTTATAGTGTGTCCAGAACAGGGCTTCAAACCAGTTCTTTTATGACTGGTGAAATGAAACTGGAACTGACCACAATGTGTATAATGTGGGTATACCAGAACCGAAAAATGTCGGGAATAGGAGTACTTGGCACAAAGATGGCACTTGCACTGCTTTGTGTTGTGTTGCTCTCCAAAGCCCTGGTAACAATCAGTTCTTCCCCATCAGGCTCTGAAAAGGTCTCACTCTGCCCTTTCCAAATCACCAATTTCAGGCCTTTGGCTCTGGAGTATTTCCAGTTCAATTTATCATTCCAGTACACCCACATTTTACAAATTCAGATCTTTCCTAATATTGCTGTGTTGACCATGACTAAACTGGTTCTAACTTGTTTGAAGCATTGCTTCAAAATATATGAACCTTGGTTCCAAATTAATGATGACTGAGGAAAAGCAGTCATCTTTGCCAGAGCAGCCCCCTACTGTCAAGCCATTTCCAACTCAGAGCAACCTTCTGTCAGGTTTCTGTGTCTCTCAGTCTTTAGGAGAGGCGATTGTCCATCTTTCTCCAAAGAAGCACCTGACAGATTGGAACTGCCAAACTATTGGTTACCAGCTCAGCGTGTTACCCACTTTGCCACTGACAAATTGCCAGGAAGTTTCCCGTTTTAGGCATTTAATAAACTTTATAATCAGAATTGGAGGAAGACTTATCCATAACCTGTCTTAGGCAGATACACTATCTTACTTGATCAAACTGAGAAGGACGTGAGACATTTGCTGCAGAAGATCAAGGACTGCAGCCTTAAATATGGATTGAAGTTCAAAAGCAAGAAAACAAAGATTTTCACCACTGGTCCAATTGACAGCATCATGATAGACAAGTGAAGAGGTTGAGATTGTTAACAGCTTCTGTTTGCTTGGCTTCATCATCAGCAGTCTTGGTACAACCGGCCAGCAAATCAAAAGACAAATTGCATTGGGAAAGTCTGATGTTACAAACGTCTCCATAGTACTGAAGAACAGTGATGGACTGCTAGGAGAACAAACGGGTTCATCCTGGAAAGGGTGAAAACAGGCAGCTCCTTGGAGGCAAGGACTCTGAAGCTCCATCTGACATATTTTGGGCATGTTGCTTATTTGTTCGTTTGTTTATTTACTAGAAAGCACATTTCCCACATAACCATGTTGTTATTGTTGTTGTTGATTGCCTTCGAGTTAGCACCACTCATAGTGACTCTATGAACAGAACACATGAAACTCCTCTAAAACTATCAACATTTATCAAAGTTCATAGAGTTTCTGGAGGCATGTTGTTTAGGAAGTGGTTGCCACTCCTGCTTCCAAACCTGTCATAGTATGTTATTGTTGTTATGTGCTGTTGAGTTGCCTGCGGTGCATAGTGACCCTGTGTACAGCGGTTCTGAACCCTTCCCTTGTCCTGAGCCAGTCTCACTAATCCTGACACACCAACCTCCATTGCCCCAGTTACTGTATCAATCCATCTCATCTGGGGTCTTCCTCTCCTGCCTGTCCACCCTTCCAAGCATGACATATTTTGGGCACGTGGCCAGGAGAGATCGGTCTTTGAAGGAGGACATCATGTTCAGAAGGGTGGACAGACATATCCATGAGTTTACCTTTAATTGTTTTAGAAGAACATTGTCTTACCTGCTTTCTACAGATAGCAAAGAATTGACTCCTTGATCTGAAGCATGTCAACTTAAAAACTATTAAGATTGACTCCTTTTAAGAAGCCTTGGTAGTGCAGTGGGAAAAGCACTTGTATGCAAAACAAAATCTCAGTACTTCAGACCTACCAGTTAACTTATGAGAAAAAGAGGCTGCTTATTTGGGGACCCTGGTGGTCCTGCTCTGCCCTACATGGACACTGTGAGTCAGAATTAAAACCATAGTTCCT